AAACCCAGTAATCGAAAATAATCCATTTCCTTGACGTCCTCTTCAATTATTATTTTTTTTTTAATTCTAATCGATTTCGATAAAGTAGTGATCTCCCTACCAAAAAAAATTGCAGAATTGACGACATATCATTTTGTGTGGAGCTTGTTAAAAAATTTGGTAATCTGAGATAAACCTGGCATAATGGCATCCCTGATCCCAGACGCCAGGGAGGGGACTTAACACTTGGGCCCTTGATATCAAATCCATCAACATGATCCGATCCCTGAAGCCGTTGGCCAGTGATTTTTCATTTTAAAGTCCCTGTTTTTCCCCCGAATTTTCCCAGCACAACTCTCAAAAAATAACCCAATTTTTAAGTAAACGTATTCAATAATAACAACTTTTTTTAAACCGTGACTACATGCGAATGTTTGAAGATATTTGTGGGTAAACCATCTTCAGTCTCGTCTTCAGTAGCAAAACTACAACAAGCATTTTTTAAAGCTGTAAGTATATTAAACTTAAACTACATTCGAAGAAGAAACCATTAATCATAACGATAATGTTTTGATCGATTATATACGTTGTGCAGTCATCCCTGGTCAGCTAAAAATAAGTATGAATCAGTTAGCCCAGTGTGTTATCTATCTGAAAGCAATCTATAGCTGCGGATTGATTACTGATTATATAAAAGCGAAGACAACATATCAAGAAGACTGGCAACATTGCCAGAATTCAAGGGACATATCTCGATGAACATTTCAAACGGTCCTATCTGCTTTGATCAATTCTCTTCATCGACTTTCTCTTTTCATAACCACTGCTATGCAAACAGATAACAGTTTGATAAAGGAGGTTCTTATCTAGCGTCCAAAACGTCAAATACAACAGGGAAAGGTTTTGCAGCTGAGTTATTGACGAAAGAGAAAGTCGATGCAGAGAATCGATCAATGCAGATAGGACCTTTTGAAATGTTTATCTAGGTATACAGTAGCCCTGCGCTTGAGCTAAGAAGGTATCAACTAGAAATCTTATATATAGAGATTCGCGGAAGCGGCTATTTTGAGCCAATCGAGCACCGATAACTGTCAAAATGTGAGCCAAACGAGCATTATGATTAGAAAATATTTAAAGAATTTCTTATTGACTTGAAAAGTATTGTAATCCGGAGATATAAACTCAAACTAAATGCAAATTAATACATAAGTACATACACGCAGTAAAATGCGTATGACATAAGAGAGCTTTGTCATAATTAACAATAATATAATACATTGTTAATGGATAATTTTTATAGATTTTTCAGTTCGGATAATATTGCTGATTGCATCTGCAACAGGACAGCCTCAAAAATTCAAAAAGTGTGATAAAATGCACGATTCCGTCAATTATTTTTGGTGTCTTCGGAGCAATTATTGCTTCCTTATTATAAGGAATGAGTGCACTTAAGACACCAAGACGATTAGAAGAAAATGCGCACTTTTATAACCCTTTTTCATAAGTGAAAATGCGCTTATTTGTCCAGTTTGGTGTGAAGTGCGCAATTAAACTGTACGCAATATTTGTTTTTTTTTTCAGCAATATATCTTAATTAGTTTAGCAAAATACAATTGCTTGTGCTCGAAGTGGTACTGTAAGAAGCATTGCAAATCAGCCGGCAGTTCGACATTTTTTTTTGCGATGTTCAGCGTTTTCTGGAAACTGGAAAAAAATTCACATTGTTACACTTCGTTGCAGTTTCACTACCTCAGTTAGGTCAAAACATGGCAAAAATAGTCCACCAGTTCTCTGAGAGTTCAAACAAACTCACACCGTAGACAACGATAAAGTCACGCACAAAGCTGGAACATTTTACTCCACGGCCAGTGTTGGCAGCTTTTGTAAACAAAACATATCACGTTGCCAAATTGTCTGATAATATTTCTGCGTATCTCTATATATAGGATTACTAGTTTCAACGCATAGTAATTTGAGGAAATACGCAAACCTCTCATCTAGTGTTGTACGGTTTAAAGATACTGATTACTTTTTTAAAGCTCCAGACCCCATATTTTCAAAGCCCAAGAATTTACTGAGAAGTCATTTTCAAAAGGTCCCTACGAACGCTATCGACCTGGATGGGTCATAAGACCAAATTGTAAACAAAGAGAGATATAGAAATTGTTTTAAAAGTCTTGAACTTGATTAGGGGTACCTGGGATAACATGCACCGTTGGGGCAAGATGAACTTCTTTCGTTTTAAGCCTAACATATACATAACAAAGTAGTTACCATACAAGTTAAAATTTTGTTTGAAATAAATAAAATCTAATACCAGTTTGTTTATTTATTTGTCGTCAATCAGTGTAGACCGTTTTACAATTTTTGTCTTAAGTGCTATTTAAACTGTACGTTTTTACACCATATCCAATGTTAGTGTAACAGATAAAGTAATTTTGTCCTTCGTATTATTAAGATTTTTTTCCGATTCAAGCATTATTAAGCGTCGGAGGAAGATATTACCCATTTGAATGAGCTTACAGCCACATCTTTCTGATAAAATACCGATAAACTTTAGTATGTATTTCTATTTTATGATCAAACACATTTTCATTATACATTCGGAGCGAAATGCACTCTTAAATTCGGGGCAATATGATCTTTTAGTAAACAAGCTTTGTTTACCTTTTATTATTTTTTCAAAAAATTTCCGTAGAGTTCCGAAGTCTATTAAGCGGTATTGGACCTTTGATCAACTACGATCGGAACTGCACAGAAAAAACATTCTGAATTTTAACAATGGCGTAAAATCTCCCTTCGTTTAATTTTGAGCTATACTTGGCATAAACAGCGAAATTGTTTACAATATTGCAGGCAATATTGCTAATTTATGTGATATTGCGATTAATGTCTCGCAGAAATTTACATGAATTTTTCGAACGGTGTGGAGGCAGTCAAAAACGAAGACGTTCTTCTGCCTCAATTGGTCATGATCATTTATAAGACGGCAAGGAGAGTCATATTGCCCCATTGTTGGGGTGCATTTTGCCTCATCATTATGGTGCGTCTTGCACCTTTTTTGTAGTGTATTTTACCCCAAAATGGGTGCATTTTTCCCCGATTAGTGACATTTCCAGATTATTTTATCAATTTCAAAAATCACTTTTTAAGGTATTTTTTTCAAAATTTTCATGTAGGGGAAATGGCTATAGCGTTGGCCCAATGGATATAAGATTGGAATAATAGGAATAAGGGATATAAGGAAGTTCTGAATTTAATTCCTAGTTAATTCTGAGAAGAATTATGGAATTCGTGATGAGAATAGCTGGTGAATTTTATTAAGAATGCCAAGAGAATTTTGATGAGAGTTTCAAAAGAATTATAAGCAGAATTTAATGGGTGCTCTGAGAATAACTGTAAAGAAATATTAAGGAAAATTCAGAAAAGAACTTCAAGTGAATTTCGAGAACAATATTGTGAATAATTCCCAAAAAATAAGAAGAAAAAGAAAAGAAAAGGAAAGTCATAAGAAAGTTCCAAGGGATTTCTAAGGAGGGATTGGAGAAAAAATGATTTTCTCATTAAATTTGCAAAGGAATTTTAAAAAAAGATTTCAAGGAAATGCTTCGGATAGTATCAACGAAATTCCAAGGAAATTACTACGAGGTTTTGAAAGGAATTGTCTGGTGAATTCAAGGACAATTCCTTGATAATTATGAATATGCACCTATTTAGATACACTGCACACTAATGCAGTCAGTAAGGACCTACTGAGGTTTTAATTGCGGAACTGTTCGGTAAAAGTTTAAAAATCTGTAGAAAATTCAAAAATATAAAAAATTTCTTCAAAATTTTACAGACTTTGTTTTGATAACCCCATTTAATGATAACAATTAAAATTTATCGATTTGCTTGATTCCTTACGCGTAACGGTCATTTCAATTTTTATCGACTCAGCAATTCAAAATCCCAGTAAAAGTAATACTGACTCCTGTAAAATAATCTAAGTGGGTGGGGACTTTAACATTACGGGTTTTTACACATAAGGAACCAGCACAATAAGATTCTTACAATTTGACTGCATTATCCAAGGAATAATATCCGTCATCTTAACTCAAAACCACATTTTCAGTTGAAGAAAAATATACTCAATGGGTGTCACAAGTCAAGTGGTACGCCACCTCGGCTCATCTACCTACCTAATAATAGAACAAGTTGAACAGTTTAAAAAAATCCACATACAATATCTCAATATTTTGACTGACACTTCTGTTATTCTTTCTGTGACAATAAGATCTGATTTGCGAATAGAAATGCAAGCAACGAAAGACATCCGTCAAAGCTCGATTGACATACGGTTGTGCTGTGGTCGTGCGAGATAATTCGAAATGGATAAACACTCTTTTTTTTTTGCTAATGAAAGAAACAATCCCGTTTGACAGATTTAAAAAAAAAACACGTGCTTTCTCTTCCATATAAGTAGCGCACAAGAGGAACCCCCCGTACATTGTCCGCTCGCTTGCGATAGACGATATACGCGAAAGCGCGAAATGCCAAAGCAAATCCAATTAATAGCTCAAACTGTCATAAGTGTTTTAAACGTTTCTCGTTGTTGGCTTTGACAATTCGTTCCCGTTTCCGTTGGTGTTCTCATTGCACCCTGCCACCCCCACACGATCGAGGTCGGGGTGAGCCACCAACTCACACTTTCATGCTCCTCATCCAGTAGTGCATGCATTGTGCAGACGTATAGGACACCGATGTTTACAGTGCACAAATCTAGTTTTAACAGAGTGTCAGCTCGTAGAATGAAAGGAAGCAAGGCAAAATAAAAAATGGAACGCCGACATTGGCAGCCGGGAGTCACGTTCTGCTGCCACTTAAAGCAACCGGATCACGTGAGGGAGAGATTATACCGGAGAGCACGGACTGTCTCTGTGCCAAAGTGTTCAATATGTATTCAATTAACCGCGGTTCGCCAACCGATGTGTTGTTGCCACAACCAAAATACAAGAGAAATGTCAATCGTTTGTACTTACCAAGATTCTTCCGGTAGTGGTTTGACCCGAGATAAGTTCACCGGCCCAGTCCTTCGCTTCGGTCATAAACGTACCCTCGAAGTCCTGCTTTCCCTGTCGGGAGGCCTTCTGTTCCTTCTGTTTCGGATCATTGGGCGCTAGCTCGGGCTCCTTTCGACAGCACAAAAAGGCAAAGGCCCGCCATAAAAGCACAACAAGCAGTCCAGCCAAAAATGTGAATATACTTGATAATAGAAAACACCACCATTTCCGCACTTTGAGACATTCATCGAGGTCGGTTGCAGGTAGCTCTGTGGTCAACACTGCTGCCTCCTCGTCACAGCCCGACATCCCCTAGCAGATAACGGTTGGGGATCCGTAACGTATCCGTCGTACTCCACACTGGTCGCCCTTTTCCTAATCATTGGACATTTCACAACGGTTTGCCACCGCCGTCGCCGCTGGTCACTGATGATCTGATGCCCTCAGAGACGAACCGTAGATGCGCGCTTTCACTTGAATTTCTGCTTCCGTTCGTCACCTTTTGAGTTTTATTTTTATCAATCTTAAGGTTTTTCTGATTTCTTCTCTATTAAAACTACACTATACACTCTTTTTTCACTCTGATGGGATTTATGCTCCTGCAAAAAGAAAAAAGAAAAAAAAATGACAAACACACAAAAACCCCACTGATGCATCTCTTGCTCCCGCCGGGAGATTGTCCGAATCTCCAATCTCTCGCTCATTTCTGAAAAATCTCTCGCTTCTTGCGACGCTCACACAAACGGGTCATCATCTCGCGGAATGATGTTGCTCTCTCACATCAAAGGTTTTTCCCCCGATCTTCATTTTTCGATAAAATTCTTCTTCGGTTTCAAGAGTATCCGCACTAACTATGGATGGATGGCTGGGATGGTATCATTTTTCTGTCTTTTATTATTATTCAGAAACGTTCTTCCATCAACACTTTTTGATTATTTACGTTGCACGTTTTATGTCTTGATAAAAGTTAGTTGATTATTTTTTCTTCATTCACAACAGACACGGAAATTCACTACCTACTCACGTCACAGCATCTCAATTTTAGCAATTTTATGACTGACAGCTGCGATGTCTTTCTTTGTTTCCCGAAAAAAGTTTTAAAAAAGGACGAAAATCAACTGTAACCTACTTGGATCATTCTCAACCACTCATTCCTCGCAAGCATTCAGGAAGGGCATTCTATTTATTGAACATAAATTTATGTAACTCAGTCTAATGCATGGACGTCACCGAACAACTTCTGCTTAATCGCCCAAAACAAAATGAAAATTCGGTTCGGAAGTAACAGCAGCTGCAACCCAGTACATCCCGATATACATACATACAGAGGTATACCAGTTTACGAGCTTTTACATAAGGTTTCGGGAACATTGCCAAGTAGCTGGACTGCTCGCTAGCAATCAGTACCTATGCTGTGTATGGTATCATACAACAGCTGCTGCTCGTATGCGCTATCAGCGCTATCGATTACGGCTTATGGCTCTTTTTGGCACTGACGCAGGCAATTCTATTGTCAGGAGGAGAAAAAGCCAAAAGAATTAAGTTGTCTAAATAAACGATCGAAGCTATCGTTCTTCTTCTTCTACTACTTTCATCCCAACTTGAACGTTGGAACGGGCCTGACGTAGTGGTTAGCATCCATGTTTCATTCACGCTGAAGGTCACGAGTTCAAATGTCATACTGGATCACACTTAAGGGGGAGGCTGGGGCGGTCTAACACCTCCCGAAAACGGTAGTACGTAGTTTATGAACAGCACCTTAAAAGCTTTACCCGTTTTCATTCGTACGTTATTGGGCAAGAAATACTCTAGGAAATTTAAAAAAAAAAAACAATTCGTCCGGACAGGGCAACGAACCGAACTGTAAGTTTGCCGCACCCTTTATCACATACAAAGCAAATGGCATGAATATCAAATGTTCACAAGCACGTGTTTTTCTAGAATAAATATTTTCGTATAACACCATCACGAGATGATTTTTTCTCATCGCAGAGCATTTGGGGAAACTTGATTCAAAAATTCAACGAACTTAAAAAATAACAAAAATATTAAAATAAAATCTGCCGAAGACCACATTACAGAATCTTTTCGGCGGTGAAACATTACAAATTTTACATACTTTTTATGCAAAATATGTAATAGGTGCACTAAAAATTCTGGGTTCAAGAAAAAGTGAGAGCTACATGATGGCCCTAAAGCACAGAAACAGAAAAGGAACTTCGGATCCAAAAGTAGCACCATTTATTTTTGTGAACACTAGCGCACCTAGCGGTAGAAGGCAAGCTTTACCTGGAGTTTACATGGGCAACATGCTTTGATGGTGTGCATGACCATAGAAAACCAGTGTGAAGCGCATCCACACTTGGTGATCACAAATTGTGTAACCCTTTTTGATACACTGATTCGTTCACACTTCAACTTCTGTTCTGTGCCTAAACTATTATATCATTCGTGGTAGGAAGCCAGTATCCAATCTTAAAGCCTTTTGGAATAGGTCATAAGGGTTGATGTGAAACCTGGTCCAAAACATCTTTTGTTTCCAATTACACTTGCTCGGAACATGTCTGAGAGCTATCCGGATGTGGCCAGTGTTGTCCTGGGCAATTCAAATGACTACCATTGAACTGTTTTTCTTTCATTCTCATGTGATATGATATGCCACATGATATGATTTATTCGTTTCAGGTCAAATATAGTATCATGGCCGTACAATCAGGAACTTGTACCGGCCATAACCCCGGAACCAGTTGACCGATTCCAAAATATTTCAATCGCGTTTCATGGGACCATGAGTCCTTTCATTTGGTGGTTGTTGCACAAATTCGGTTCACAGGTTATTGAGGAACATGTCTTAGAGAAAAATCTAGAATTAGATCCTCAAATCCGTGCTTATCAGATCTTGTTCCGTCTATATATCCGGAATCAGTTAACCGATTCCAAAATTGCTCTATGGGAGTATGAAACCGTTCATTTGGTGGTTGTTGCGTTCAATACTGTTTAGTGCCGAGAAACACGACTTCAACTTAGACGACGACTCACAAGGGAAAACAATTAGCAGGTGAAAAATTTACAAGGCACGTGGACTTGGATGAACTTACATAGCTACATCAAGAAGAATTTTCAAAGAATTTCCATGAGAATTGGGAAAATTCTGAGCAGAATTTCAAAAGAAATCTGAGGGTTATTCTGAAGAAACTTTAATGACAATTCCGAGGGAATTCTGACTACATCTCCAAGAAAATCCTGACAAGAACTCCAAAGAAATTCTGACATGAATTTTAAGAGAATTGTGACAAAATTCCAATCAAATCTGAATCTGCTGATGGTACCAAAAAAAATCTAATGAGAATGAATTTTTTTTAACAGCATTACTAGAGGAGTTTATTATGAGTTTAATGCTAAAAAGTTTCTAGGTAATAGTAGTAATGATTACGAGTTGAATTTCTGAGGAAAATTCCATGGGAATTGTGAGAATGTTAACAAAAAGTTTTGCCGGAATTTTGAGAAAAATTTCAAATTAATATTGAGCTGAGCAAAGAGGATTCTAAAAATAATTCAGATTAAAACTCTAGAGAAGCTCTAATGTTGAGAATTCCCAGTATTCTAACAAAAATTTAAAGAAAAGTCTGAATTTTAAGAATGCCAAGTTATTTTTTTAATTTTTATTAACGTGATTTTCAACCGTGGAATTTCATGTGAATTGTGGTAACAATTGAGGGAATCAGAATCTAAGAACTGAATATAGTTCAAAAATAATTCTAATTGAGTCACAAATGAGAGTTCCTAGGGCGTTTAAAGGCCCGTTACAATTGTGAGCAGAAGTGTGTTAAGGAAATCTAAACGAGATCATGCGAGAATGGCTGAGAATAGAAAGATAAATTGTAGATGGAATTCCACGAAAATCAGAAAAGGCAGCTAATGTATTCAATAAACAGTACGAGGGATGCTTGAAAGCTGCAACAGATATTTAAAACAAAACTTGTTTTAACAATTATGTTCGTGTTCCCATAGGTATCTACAAGCTAAAGCAATGTGCGAACTTTTTTGTTTGACTGTAATTATTGTAATTAAATTTATTTTTTTTTCATGTGTAATAATTGCAACTGCCTCACCCCTCGACCATAATCCAATGTATGTTGGTTGCCTTTTCTGACATTAGGTGGTATGTCGAACAGGAAGTTTCTGTTCTCTTAGTGACGTATGGAAAATCAAAGAGTGAACTATATCTAGATAAACATTTCGATAAACACGATCGATTCTCTTCATACAATATTATTGTTAATGTAGTATAGGGGTTATAGAGAAAATTTAAAAGGAACACCAGAGAGAATCCCATCTATTCTGCAGACACTTTGACAAAAACTCCGAGAAAAATGTGGAATGATTCAAAGAGAATTATTGAAAAAAATGAAAATTGTCAGACAAACAAAAACATTCGAGATGCCGCACTTCGAAAAATGTTGGAGATTGTGAAATTAAAAAAAAAATCAAGTAGGGAAAACGCTCCTATATTGGCCAAGTTTTAGCGATATTTAACGTTTTATGCAAGTTTGAGGCCTTGAGTTCTGTCAAGATTGTAATTCAATCGTTTTTCTGAAGTACGGCCAAAATAGTAAGCTATGGCCAATACTGGTGCAAGCGTCATTTTTATGCTGAAATCTCAGTAAAACTTATTGCCGAGCTGCTCAGCGGTGCCGGAATTGCGTAGATTCGTTTTGTACCATGATATGAGCCAAAATGTGTATAGAGCAACCGTTTTTGCTTATTGAGCAGAAGATCATGGGTTAAAACCCAAGCCTCGTTACGTTACTAAGTTGATCCATCCCAGGCCTCTATTGAAGAAAATTGCTAATAATATAACTCGGTGGAACGATTCGGAAAAGTACATATTTTTAGACAAATGTGACGTACGCTTGATCCGGTTCAGAAGACATTTTTAACTACTTTCGAGGATGTCATTTCATGTTAATAGCTTCTTGTAACCGATAATGAACGATCATCGGTCGTAGTTTTTTGTGATGTAAAGGGCACGATGGCCTTAGAGCGACCGTTTTTGCTTACTGAGCAGAAGGTCGTGAGTTATAACCCAAGCCCCTTTACATTACTTAGTTGATAGGGGTGCGTCATTTGCTTGCCGGGCTTTAAAATATCGCATCACTTTCAAATGTAAACCCAGATCTAATTCACCCTTCCCACTAACAAAAACTCCCTTCCCGTGACAACCGTGAAGATGCAGAGGTATACTCGGTCTCTAGTAACAACGGGTGTCAAAATAACAATCCTTTCCCTCCCCGATAACCATAAAGATGTGGCCGGCGCCGTTATTGACCTGGGACGTTTTGACTAGTCAAGTTGTACATCGGACATGTTAAAGTGGGCGATTTTTCTCAATGACGTAAACAATATGTGTTACATTGGACTTCAGAGTAGAGTACCTAACTTTAGATTGGCCCCGCCTTTAGAAAATGAGCACCAATCATGTTAGACAGTCCGAATGACCGAAGTAACAATCATGAACCCATCATTTCAAACTGTACATTGGACAATTTTTGACCTATGATTATCTTAAATAAATGAAAATAAATCTGTATGGGTGTTT